CCGTTATTGTGATAGAACAGCAAGAAAGATTGGTCACCATTAGGTTATGCGCATGCTCAAGGAAGATGTCAGATAATTTCGTAAATGACAGACTGAGTTTCTCCAAGCTTTGGCAGTCAACGTTACTGATCTAGAATTCAAACATATCTGACAGCCAGCTACAACTCGCGAATACCACTTCCTCGATATGCTTCTTCCTCAGCAGGTCAAACCACTCCTCCAATTGTTTAGCTCTGTCTCCATTATCTATCCGACATGAGTCAACCCTCGGATGGAAAAATAACCAAAATAAAAGTTGTTGATCTCGAAATGTTCTAAAGCTTTGTAGTTAACAGCTTTTTCATTTGAATTAATCTATGTATGGAAAATTACATTTGATATTCTCTCGTTTAAAATTCAATTTTTTCAATGACCATAGATGGTGAAATGACTAAAACCAAAGTTGCAGATCTCAAGAAGTTATTAAACTTTATAGTTGACAACTTTTTTATTTGAATTGTTTGGGGTCTCATATACTCATTTCAAAACTGGATAAAGTTAAAATAAGGTGGACGAATATCCATTTGGACACGGAGTGTCCTATGGGTGGAGTGGTTAGGGCATGCGCAATGTGGCTGACTCATTTAGCATTAGGTGCCAGATTTGGTTTAGGTGGCATTAGCTACAACCAAATGCACGTCCATGGTAGAACATAGCGTGCAGGGTAACTCACACACTACTTACATGTCAGATTTTTTTATTCTCCTATGGTGCACCATAAGCTTAAGGTTGATTTTAGGGAATCTTTGCTAGAGGTAATGCCACAATGGCTAAGGTGCATCACAGCCATAGCAGTAAATGCTTAAGGTCACATTTTCTCATACATTGTGGTTGCCCTTAAGGGAGGAACGCGCGAAGCCACGATTGCGGGTTCAATGCCCCGCAACAGCTGCTACAGATATATGCATATCATGTTTATAAGGAAAGCAATCATCTCCTTCAATTTTCTAGACTAATTCAAATTTTTACTGTACAAATTTCGAACTACTATTGTACAAAATCACTGACCCCTATCTGCTTATCAGTCTGATAACCTAGCCTTGAATGTCAGAACAGCAGTTTTGGATGATAGGGCGACCTTCTCAAGCTTGGCTTTGGCCTGACTCAATATTGTACCATCTTGGAAAACATCATTGTTGGATAAAATTACTCACACAAGCATCATATGAAAGAGTGGACTCAAATGATTATTCATTTCATGTCCGTGAGTAGTACATGTTAGGGGTATTTATAGAGGCCCTAACCTTCGTTATTTCTATACAAAGACTAAAATACCCCTGACTCAATTAAATACAACCCCTCTATTTGTTAGGGGCAAACTGGTCATTACAACTTCAATTCAATGTCTTACACATCTCAAGTGATTTTTAGAAGAGGAGATATCGGCGGCGAGGCTTCATGTCCTGAAGACAAGTTGATCTCCACTTGCTTGCCTTTAACTTCGCTTTAACAACGAAGTATGTATGATGGCTTCGCCTTTCAATTGGCAACGAAGTGATTCTAGTGACTTTGTTTTCAGCTTTTGTCTTCATGTTCGAGTGAAGTCATCCTTCTATCTTCGCTTCTTCTTTGCTTCTTTTGGACGAAGATACTTCTAAAAGCAAACTTGGATATTAGGATATTTACCCATAACATCAGTTCTCTTAGTACCTTCGAACTTTCCAATTAGAGCGGCGGAAGAACTACGGTTAATTGAGTTGGTTGAAGGTTGCTTTCCACGGGGAGGAATGGTGCAGGAATTTCATAAAAAATTAAATCAGTTTTACAGAAAAAAAAATACTAGAACAGTTCTATATTCCAAACAGGCCCTTATATATTAAAGCTGGTGACCGTCGGATGACTAGGCATTAGTGTTCTACCTCATAAATGCAAATTCCAACACTTTTGTCAAGAATGGAAGGACCTAGGTCCTCTAAAAAAGTTTCAGTTTCCAAATAGTTGTTAAAAGCCAAGTACGACTCACTTTACTTGTATTTAGTACTAATAGCTAATGTTTTGAAATAAAAAAAATCTTTTCAGAACACTATATTTGAGTTTTTTATTAAGTTATGCACTTTTATGGAACTTTTGATTTCACTTAGCATGTATGCTAAGAAATTATATGATGAAATACTACTTTCCAAACATTTATTTAGCCTATGTTTTCTGAATTTTTGCAAAACATTTTGGATTAAACAATTGAACCAAAAACTCAAATATAACATTCTAGAAAGAAAATTAATTTCAAAAGTGCAAAAATATGATGCCAGATACAGGTAAAGTGGATTGTGTTTTATTTTTAACATCTATTTAGAAGATTACAAGGTTTTGGAAGGCCCCTAGGTCATTCATTTTGGAAGGCCCCTAGGTCATTCATTTTGGATCCAAAATAGATTCAAAAGTAGTGTTGGGATTTTGTTTAGACAAATTTCATAAAAAGAATTCTTACTTTTCTTATGTGAAAATAAAACCGTGTTACTGGTGTAGGATTCTGCCTAAATTAAGTCGTTTTCAGTAGGCATGATTTTCAAAATCATTCCAAGCATATTTTTTAATTTCCACAAAAATATATATGAAAAATAAAGTTTCTTCTATTTGGTAGTAGGAGGCGAGCTAGTAAACATGCCTACGTAGCTACCGCCCAAGTCAACCAACCGGTGGTCACCAGCTTTTAGCCCGACGGAAAGCGTCCTTTATAGCCAGCCAGTATTTGTCTAGGTGTCCTGTTTAGAGCCGCTTTGCTAGACCACGCTCTGATTTCAAGCCTACTTCCTTGCTAAGCTGACTTCGATTAGACTCAAAGCGGCAAAAACATATCGTTTGGGGGGAAGGGGGGCTTCCATGGAGAACTCGGGGACGGGGAGAGAACTTGGAATGGTCACGGAGGTAGGAGCGGCCGTCGGGTCACGATGCGCTCATCGCAGAGGATGGAGTGGCCACCAGATCTCGGCGTGCTCATCGCAGAGGGTGGAATGGCCGCGGGCGGGACTCTGCGCGCTCATCGTGGGAAGAGCTCAATCATCGTCATCTGAGGACAAACACAGCATGGTCAAGGTCGAGCACGGTCGCCAGAGGGGAGTAAAAGGCGAGCACGGCTAGCAAGGACGGAGGAAGATGAGGTGTAGGCGGATGGAAGAGGGCGGCGGGTCAGCAAGGATGAAGGAGGAGGGTGGCATGCCCGTGGGCACGAGCACAACCATCGAGGCGAAGAGAAAGGGCGGCCCAAGCAGAGGGAGAGAAGAATCTGAGGCTGACTTTTTCCACGGCCCCCTCCTTGTCGTTTCCGCCTTCATGTGTTGTAAAGGGAATCATGGGAAAAGGAAGCAGCGCTCGAAGCACGACGTTAGTGGGGCTCGGGCCGCTTTTTTTTTCTTCACTAGACTAGAATCCGTTCCTAACAGGCCCATAGTTCTCACAACCGCTCTACTTGGCAGAAATTTAAATGAGTCAATAGGAGGCAAAATTTTTTTGGGAACGGTAATACTTGTATCCGTGAGTCCATCCGTGACTCCCGTCTGGACGGTCCTCATCAACTCATTCGCAGACCCATCCTCATCCACTCATTTGTGTACCCCGCCCATGTCGCACGCCCGCACTGCACTACGCGCCCCTGCTCGCGCGACAACTCCGCTCGCCAACGCCGCCCCCGCTCGGACGGACTCCGCCTGCACCGCCCCCGCGCGCTGCTGGCCGCCATCGCGGGATGGACTCCGCTCGCCCGTGCCGCCCCGCTCGCGAGACGGACTCCGCCTGCGCCGCCCCGCCCGTGCTGCCCGCCCGCCATCCGGACTCGCGCCTCCCATAGCAGTCGCGCTCCATCCGCCTACGCGGCCACTGCCGAGGTCCGTGCCACGACAAGCTTCGTACCGGCGACCTCCGAGCACTCCGTGGCATCGAGCTCCGCGCCGACGTCGAGGTCCACAAGGACGAGCTCCGTTCGTCCAAACAGTAAGGTGACATGGCGCTGAAAGCACATGTTGCAAGCGTATGTTTCGAGTGTTTCAGTTGTTTTAGAGGTATGTTGCAAATGTTTCATATGGATGTTGCAAAAGTAGATCGGGATGTTGCATATGTGGCAATTGTTGTACACTTTATGTTGCAAACTTCGGTTCCCAATGTTTTATCTGTTTTTAGACGTATGTTGCAAGTGTGTTTATCTGGATGTTGCATATATTTCACGCATATGTTGTAAATATTTTATCTAGATGTTTGCGTACGTGTTGCAATGGTTTTCAAGTGTTTCATGTGCTTTTTTTGCAAGTGTTTCAGACCCATGTTTTAAATGTTTCATCTGTCTTCGGATGTATGTTGCAAATGTTTCATGTGGATATTTCAAAAGTAGATCGGGTGTTGCACATGTTGCAATGGCGCCGGTGGCTGGCGGACCGCGGCCTGCCGCAGGGCTTTGGCTCCTACCTCGTGCCTTTTTCATGCGGCACGCCTTGCCCTCTCTCTCTCTCTCTCTCTCTCTCTCTCTCCCTCCCTTTCCTTCCCCACTCGCCGCGGCAGTTCGAGCTCAGCGGGAAACCCTACCCAACGAGCATGTAAACACCCCGCAGAGGTGGTGGTCCCGGTGGGTCGACGGCAGCGTGATGTTCGCGTAGTGGCCCCGGTCCATGTCATCTGCTTGCTACGCGCGGGAAACAAGCAGCCACGGGTGTCCGGACGTGGTCCGGACGTCCAGGTGCTGGTTACTCCGTTTTAGAAACTTCATATTTGCTTTTATAGGAAATAATTTTAAAATATAAAAAATAGAAAATGCAGGCCCCTAGCCCAATACTAATCCGAATCGCTTCAGAGTTCGATTGGTACACCGTATACGCGTTCTCTAATCTACGAGTATGCATATATAATAAGGACTATATATACATCTGGATATCTATCTATCTAACTAGACGCATCACGCACACGGATCGGGTTTAATAAACTCTCTATTAGCTAGTCCAAGAGAGATGCCTCGCGATCACGGAACATCCTCGGTAATGTGCAGCAAGAAGATGTTGGGCCAGACGACACAGCGGCTTCATGACAATCTGATCTTCGACGAGATCGTGACGCGTTTACCACCTAGCGACGTCGCCCGCTGTCGAGCCGTGTGCCGTGCGTGGCACACGGCCCTCACCTCGGACGACTTCGCCCGGGCCTACGGCGCCGCCAAGTCAGCCGCGGCGGCGCGCCAACCAGAGCTCCTCTTCTTCGCGCCGGCGGCCGACGCCAGCGCCAGCACCAGCACCACCCTGTACACCTGCGCGCTCCGCAACGGGGAGGCGCCGCGCGCCGCCCGCGAGCTCCTCACCCTCGGCAACCTCAGCGCGGCGCACGTGATAGTGTCCCCGAGGCCGTGCCACGGCCTGAGGCTCGTCTCCGACGGCCCCGCGTCGCAGCACTACGTGTGCAACCTGTCGACCGGCGAGCACGTCGCGCTCCCGCCCTGCGAGCGCGCCGCAGCCGTGGAGTTTCGGGATTCGATGCGCATCGGCGTGGCGGGCCGATTCCTCCGGCCTCCGCCTTGGGTCCCCTTCGAGATCGCGAGCACCGGGCTCGGCTTCGACCCGGCCACCGGGGAGCACAAGGTGGTGAGGTTCTTCAAGAGGCGGATTGGGGAGACGGGCTGCGAGGTGTGCACCTGTGCCCCGGGGGGCGCGTGGCGGCCCTGCGCTGGGCGAGTGCCACCGCCGTCGGCCAGCTTTATAGCCGGCCTGCCGCCGGTGTACCTCCGCGGTTCCCTCTATACTTTCTGCTGGAGCTGAACAGCTTCACCGGCACGGATCAGCCTGTCATGTCCTTCTCCGTCGGCGCCGAGCGGTTCGGGTGGGTGCACATGCCGCCGTTCTTGGCGGACCGCGTCGGGACGCTCACGGAACTGGATGGCTCCCTGTGCGCCGTCGTCGACCTCCGCTTCGACCACGAGAGGTACTCGCTCTACACGTGGGGCGGCGACGGCGACACCTGGTCGAAGCGCTACCGGATCGACCTGCAGAGCTTGCCCCAGGCGATAAGCGACGAGTTCGTGGAGGAGGATGATGTCATCCCGCTCTGCAGTTGCAGCAGCGCGGGGGGAAGCGAGAAACTCCTGCTCGCCACGGGCTTTCACAAGGTCTTCGCTTATGACCCCAACCGCGTCGCCATGGAGAGGGTGCTGTGCTTGCAGGAGTTCGTCGACGTCCCGGCGAGGCGCCAAGAGGCCCGCTTCCTTCTCCACTTTGGACTCTACCAGGACAGCATCGCCAGCGTCCACCATAGCGGCAACAGCAGCAGGCTGCAGGTAAAGCGAGGCACCAACACGGTTTGCAAGCGACAAGTTTCTCATGTGTACCGCCAAGCCGGTTCACGTAAAATGAGAGACTTCTTGAAACACTTCCGGAAGGAGATAGCCGGACGACGCATGAACAAGGGTTGATGCAGAGGATTATATTTCTCACACACGCGCGCGCGGGACATAATCGTGTTTCATATCCTGTCACTGTTTGGTGTTATCAGTCGATCTTCAGCGTGTATTTCACTATGGTAACATTGTATTTCAGAGGAAAGGTGCATGTTTACCGTTGAGCACTTGAGTTGACCATCACAATAGTATAGTAGCTAATTTCATATTCCTCCAATAATGCTTCCTATCTAGAGTAGAGTTGGTGTAATAGGGCACTCACAATGCTAGAAACCGCAGATAGTTTCTACGTCTACTATTAGTTAATGTTGATACTACACATAGAAACTATGTTCCCAATAGATAGTTTTTATAGAATAATCTTTCGTCTAATTATATGTATTCTCTTTCTCTTATATACTTATCGCATCTCATCTCTTCATGTCTTGGTTTCCGTGTACGTAGACGTGGTTTCTTGTTAAGAAACTAGTTCCTCCTCTCTTCTTTAATTGCAGTGCCACGTCACCTTTTTTTCTTAGTTGGCAATGGCATCCAAATTAATGAATATAGAAACCATCATGTAGTTTATGGGTTGAGAGTGCCCTTACACACTAGTCTCTCTGTACCTTTTTAACCATCGTTCTCAATTCTCGAAAAGTGAAATGTACTACTTTACGTGTGTGGTTCTAAGTTCTATCCTTTTGGTACCTGAAGATTCGTGTCCAGGTCCACTTTATGCAAACATTAGAGCACCAACGATCAGCCGGATCTTGAAGCTTAGGCCCTCTTTTAAATCTAATAAGGAGCTAATAGTTAGCTGCTAATAATTAGTTAATTAGATCCAAACAGATCTAGCTAATTGTTAGCTAAATACTAAATAGTCAACTAACAACTATTTTACTAGTTGGACCAAACTAGCTAATAACAGCTTATGTTAGTTGTGACCCAGACACCTAGTATTAACTAGCTAACTATTAGCTGCTAATAGATCTAAATAGAATGAGGGTAAAGAGGGAAATGTACCCAACAACATTTCGAAAGGCGCCAACGGAGGAGGACGGGTATGGTCCAAGCTAAATCCTGTGAGTGCAAGGGGTGTGTCGTTTTGGCTCCAACGAGACCATAGTTATGAACGAGACCCACCACTCGGCAATGGACGCGGCGCTAATGGAGGAGCAGACATTAAAAACTCCGTGTAAACGTAGTCCACCTCTGCCCCTCACCCACTACTGGATCATTGCGTTGTGACTGGATTACAAATCGACATCTTCCTTCCTTGATTTATGTTCTGGGAAGTCTCTATGCACCAGCATGCAGATCACCCCCTTCACTGCTAAGAATTGTTTAGTTCTGCGGGCATTCATTTATTGGATCTAGATTGCTTAACTTGGTTCCAAAAATGTAGGAGCAAGATATGTACTCGCTGTGGATTACTAGGAGTTTAGGAGTATTCATCCAGATGGGGGTCCTTGAATGGGGAAGTATTCATCCAGATGGGACTCCTTTGAATGGAACTGTGATCGCATCCTCCACAGATAAGCCGTGTATCCAAGCTTTTCAAGTACCAAACTGCTGATTACTGTATCTTCCTTTACATTGCACTTATCCTTACAAATCTGAGCAGCATACTATTGACAAAGAGTTGGAAAATAGGAATAATAATAAAAACATTTGAATCATGAAGTTTTTGGGTTATAGTAAGAATGGATATCAGAACCATCATTTCCTGATGAGTTAAGATGACAAAAATGCTACTGCATCCTGCATTACATGCACTTGTAATTGGTATGAGTCAGTACTCACTACTCAGTAGAACATGGAATGGCCGAATGGCTCAAATGTTTGAACAAAGGCAAATTTTTTGTTGAAATGACAGGCACGCAAAGACCCGAGAGTGCCAACAACATGCTAAAAAATATGGTGTCAACAAATTCTTCGATAAATAGATTTGTTGAAAACCTAAACAAGCTGTTGTATATACTAGATATATTGAAGACTTCAAATGTTCTCCGAATTCATAATTAGACAATTGCATAAAGATTTGGATGATTCAGAATGTGCTTAATGAATGTTTTTTTCTCTCAAATACGCAAAAGATTTGTGCATCTTTGTATTAAGATCGAGAAATAGTGAAAGATAAAACGACGCGCCATGAACAAGGCACACTAGGGGCTTAATGTTATACAATCGGCTCTGCCCTCTATAGCAGAAGGAGATCATGGGCTATTACTCACTATTTATGCTATCTAGCCGTCATCGGCGATCAGACACGCTGACTTGCACGGCACCTCGCCCGCTCTCCTTTTGGTTCCAGGAAGAGCTGTCGCATTGCCTTAGCATGCGAAGGGTTGAACTAGTCGACGAAGATTCTGTCGTGGGTGAAAGGATCAAGATGCCCAAGAGGAGGGTTGAATTGGGCTATTCTAAAATTTCTTGCAACAATTAAGTCCTACACTTAGCTTACTTCACCCCTAGTGCCTAAAAGTGTGTTATATTCGTTCTACCGCATAAAAGTTTAGCAACCTAGGTTCCAATCCTACTCTAGCATGGCAATTCTAGTAATGTAGAGATATGAAATGAATTGCTCAAAGTAAATGCTCAAAGTAAAGAGAGAGAAGGAACACGACGATGTTTTCCCGAGGTATCAAAGAGTCGGCACTCCCCACTAGTCCTCGTTGGAGCACCCGCGCAAGGGTGTAGCTCCCCCTTGATCCGCACAAGGATCAAGTGCTCTCTACGGGCTGATTCTTCGTCACTCCGACATAGTGAATCGCCCACAACCACTCACAAGATGAGTTGGGTCATCCACAAGCTCCACCGGATGATCACCAAGCTCCCAATCACCACCAAACAGTCTAGGTGATGCCGATCACCAAGAGTAACAAGCATAAACTCTCACTTGACCCAACCAAGCCTAATGAGATGAGTGGATGCACACTTGCTACTCCCAAAATACTAATGAGGTCCTTAATCTTGAGATTATCAAATCACAAATCCTCACTAGGCACTTGCTCTCCCTTGGACTTCAAAGGTGTTCCTCAGCTGATCAAATTAGCAAGAGAGATATGTTGGAGGAGTGGGAGAAGTATAAATACCCCCCACACACACAAAACATACCCGTTGAGGTTCAAACCTGCTGTTTAAGTGATGACCAGACGTGTCTGTCGAGATGACCGAACGCATCCGGTCAGTAGCCAATGGCTACATGACACCAGCGTCACCACTCTCTAACCGGACTCTGACACGCGTCCGATCAACACTGACCGGACGCGTCCGGTCAAGAAAACACCTCTCTAGAACGTCTCTAGAAACGACCGGACTCTGCCCTCGGGCGTGTCCGGTGCTATGGGGCACCATGTCCGGTCAGTTCTGGAGAACAAGCCCTAGTCACAGTCGTGTCCGGTGAGCTTTAGGACATCATCCGGTGCCTTAACCTAGCCAAGTTGTACTGACCGGACGCGTCCGGTCACAAGTGCACTAGTGTTCGGTCGACTAAAAAACACTCCATTCACTTCCAAACTGAATTTCCTTGTGAATGAAAGTTGTTCCACTTGATCTTTAGAGCATCCCTGAGCTATCTAGTGCTAAGTTTGACAAGTGTGCACCACACCTAAACCATTAGACTCACCTAGGTCAAGCTACTAGTCCATACCCCCCTTTATAGTATGGTTAAAGGAAAAACAAAGTCCTAATCTACTCTAAGTGCCTCTCAACACCAAATGACACTTAGAACTAGACCGTCATTAACCTTGTCATCCATCCATTGAAAACCAAAACGAATTCCATCGATAGGGGCATGAAAATCGTTGATTGCCCAATCAATCACAATTATCGTGACCTAACTCAATTTGCCTCTACAAAACACATGTTAGTCACAATAATCTTGTGTTGTCATTAATCACTGGAAACCCACTGGGGGCCTAGATGCTTTCAATCTTCCCCTTTTTGGTGATTGATAACAACAACCTTGAGTATGTTTACAAATAGATGGGTGAGGTCTTCAACACACTTGGTTCATATAAGCATGAGACAATAAGAATAAACGGGTTAGGCATGCTTATACAAACCAAGCTACATATAAGTACTCAAAGGATATTAAATAAGTGCGAGTACTAATCACTTTGCTCATAAATAATCAGAGTGAAATGCGGAAGCATAAGCAAGAGCATAAACAAGTGACACGACATATATAAATATGAAGAGTAGAGAGCACACATGTCACAGAAAGTCTCATCACACGTATAATACAATGCATAAGAGTAAACATGATGCTAATGTATGTCACACAGAAAAGAACTAAACAAAGATAATCTCACTAGCTCCCCCTAAAGCTACATACTCGTTCCTCCCCCTTTGGCGTCAAGCACCAAAACCTAAGGATCCAAC